CCCTCCCCCTCCCCTCTCTGTCCCTGGGAACTTCAGATGTAGAGCTTCAGGTGGAGAGTAAATTTCTCCTATTGTTTTTAAACCATTAATTTTCATTGATACACAATATCTTTGTATAGTATAAGATACAGTGTGATGCGTATAAGCTGTGTAATAAGTAGATTAGGGCAATTAGCATATTAGCATATCTGGCACATAGTTACATTTAATATTTATTTTTTCCCTTTTAAAAGCTGTATTTTTCTTTTTCTCGTTTTTTTTTTTCTTTTCAGAGAATTTCACACACATAGTGTGTTTTAATCAAGTCTGGCCCCATGTTCCTTTCTCTACAACTTTTCCCATATTCATAATACCACAAAATTTCCTCTCTAACTTCATGTATTCTTTGTTTCATTCTTTTAAAACTCCCCAAGTTCACTCAGTGTTACTAGTATGAATAGGACCAGTCACTGGATAAAGGGCAAGCTGCCAGAGGGTGTGACACTCCCTGCCTGTCATTCTGTCCATCAGTTGCCAATAGATCCCTAGCTAGGAGTGGAACTTTGTGTATCCCTCCCTTATCCGCAGTAAGATTTTGACTAGCTTGATCTTGGGCAGGTCTGGTTAATATAGTCTTATTCACTGTGAGTTCAAGTGTGCATCAGCCCTGTCATGTCCACAGAACTCTGCAGTAGTTTCTACAGCCTTTGGCTCTGAAAATCTTTCTATCCCCTTTGTCGTGATCCTTGAGTCTTGGCAGGATGCATTGTGATATAGATGCCCCATTTAAGGTTGAACAGGTCACCATTTCTTATTCTCTGCACTTTGACCAGTTGTGAAACTCAGTGTTTATCACCATGAGGGAAAAGATACTGCTTCCATGACAGTGGAAGGCTATACTAAATTTGGGTAAAAAGAAAGTATTTGTAGATTGATGACATATTCATTTTGTAGATTAATAGAAGTTTCTGACTCAGGATCTTTAACTTAGTCAGGCTTGGGTTCTTGGCTCAGTTAATGCTGTCATGCATTTTGATTATTTGCTCTCTCTCTCTCTGTCTCTCTCTCTCTCTTCTCTCTGCATGTGTATATGTGTGTTTGTATGTGTGTATGTGTGTATGTGTTTGTGTGTGTATGGAATTGAAGAATTCTACAATTTCTGTGAAAAATTACATTATTATTTTGATGGAGATTACATTGAATCTGTAGATTACTTTTGTACGCTAGTCATGTTCAAGATATTAATCTTATCAATCCATAAACAGGAGGTATTTCTGTCTTCTAGTTTCTTTTTCATTTTTCCTTCTAAAGTTTTTGCTGTTTCCATTATTCAAGTCTTTCACTTCTTCCTTGGTTAGATTTATTTCAATTTTTTTTTTGAGGCCATTGTGAGTGGTGTTTTTCTGATATCTTCCTTAGTATATCTGTCATTGATATACAAGAACAATAGTGACTTTTGTGTGTTAATTTTGTATTCTGCCATCTCACTGGAAATGTTTATCAGCTGTAAGAGCGTTCTGGTGGAGGGGTTAGGGTTTTTTATGCATATAAACAAATCATGTATAAATAAAGATACTTTAACTTTGTCCTTTCCTATTTGTAAGCCCTTTAAATCCTTCTCTTGTTTTATTTATCTGGTGTATAAGGGCTACTATCAGAACTCAAGGTACTGAATTTGCTGCTTTATTCTTGGGTCTATTGAAGTCAGTTCAACTCTAATACACTGTTCTAGAATCATGTGTACCTTAGTTCTCTCTTTCCCTTGGAAGATTAGAATAAATGGAAGACAGAGTGAAGACGAAGTAGATGGACAAGCAGAAAAAGTTACACATTTCAGATGAAACAAAATCCAGCAATTCCTTTTGTGTACACAGGTTGTCGTGTGTACAAACAGTACCACTCCCTTGTCTACCAGGAAAGTTTGTACTTAACGTGCCTACATCAGAAAATCAGAGAAAACCTGAATAAATAACTTAATGATGCACCTTAAGGCATTAGAAAAATAAGAACACTCAAGAACAGATGGGAAGAAATTACTACAATCGAAACAAAAATTAATAAAAAAGAAATGAAAAAAATACAAACAATCAGTGAAATGAAGAGGTAGGTTTTTGAAAAATTAATATGATTGACAAACTTTTGCTAAACAAACAAAAACTGGAAAACTAGAAAAACTCAAACTAATAAAACTAGAGATGAAAGAGAAGCAGTTCAACAGACAGTATTGAAAATATGCTTCAAACACATATTCTGCTGCATTGCAAAACATAGAAAAGGATGAATTTCTTCTTAAACCCTTTTTAAAAGATATATTTCTTTATGTATGTGTTTGAGTGTTTTGATTTCAGGTATGTATGTGCACCATCTGTGTAGTGGCTGTGGAGGCCAGAAAATGTCACTGAAATCCCTGGAACTGGAGTTACTTAAGGATGTGAGCCACATGTGGATGCTAGGGATTGAACCCAGGTCCTCTTCAAGAGCAGAAAGTATTTTTAAACACTGAACCTGCCATTGAATGGACATCTTGAAGCATATAATCTATCAAATTTAAACAAAAAAAAATATATAACTCTTCCAACCAGAGAACCCTAGGCTCGAACTATCAGACCTTTAAAGAGTAAGTAAAACTGTTCCATAGAATAGAAAAGGAAAACAAAAAACCACTCCAAATTTCTTTCATGACACCAGAATTTCACTAATACATTTAAAAACAAGACACAACAAATTAAAGGAAAAAAAGAAAAAATATAGACAAATCTCTCTGATCAGTGTGGTCATAAAAACTAAACAGATACCTGCAAATTGAACTTAAGAATATATTAAAAAGATTATCCACTATAATCAAGAGAGCTTCATCCCAGTGATTGAGGGGTGACTCAACAGGTATAAGTAAATACATGACTCCATAAGTGAGAACCTTCCTGAGCCACTCTGTGTATCTTCTTTTCCTTTCTAGGAGGTAGGTGTTAAAGATGCTTCCTTAATATTTTCTCTGTATTAGAATACAGTGCTGTGTGTTTCAGGAACACAGTTATCTTTATTCTTAGGTGCTAGAGACTCCAAGTGTTTTGCCTCATTTGTGGTTTTTCTATTTAGAATCATAATTTAGACTTACAGGAAAGCTCTAAACTGTGGGAAGAAAGAACTTACTGGTCATTTCAGTTTACAGGAGTGAACAGTTACACTGTGTTTATTATGAAAAACGGTTACTGTTTGCCTTACTTCTCTCTGTCCTCCATGATTGATGTGATATATTCTTAAGCATGCAGAGTAACAAGTTCCCTTCTATTTTCATTCATCCTTGGTTTTGGTTACTGCTCCTTTCCTGCCCCTCTTTCTTCTCCCTGCCCTACATCTTAACAATCCTATCGCACTATTTTTATTTTTTCCCACTTGACATTAACATATAGTGCCTCTATTTTTCATATATACTTCCTTTAGTAGATACATAAGATTCTTTTGTGGGAAAGTATGAACATTTATTTACTCACTTTGGACACTGTTCTATACCAGGTATTAGCCTTGTGTAAAGATGGAGGCAAGGAGCTGGAGCAAAGCCCATTGTATGTGGAGAAATGACTTCAAAGACCATGTGAGAGGGACTTGAGTGTGCCACACAGCTCGGGATTATCCTTGATGGACTCAGGCTTTGGCCTTTGAGGAAGCTGCTAAACTCCAGTAACCTTCTGATACTATGTGTTAACTCAGAAAAAAAAAATAATGGGTCATTAATGTGTTCTCTAAGTCCCAAGCCAGATGTGGCAGCTGTGCTCCTGCTAGGTCCTCCCACGGGCATCCTCATGCTAACACTGAGACCGCTGCCTTTTCCTACTCAGTTGGAACGACACAGAGATCATGATTAATACAGCTAATGCTTTAGTTCAGAGTCAGATGATATTCAGGAAGCATTGTATCAGGGTCAAAGCATTTAATCTGATTGAGAATACTGTATATAATATGTATATAATATGTATACAGTATACAAAAGCAGATACTGTATATAATAGAGAATCAGACCTCCCCAGTTTCCTGTGAGTTACCACACTGTAGTGGTGAACTGGTGGAGTGTGCTGTGCTTTGAAGGCCTCTGCATTCCAAGGTACTGCTTGCTTCCTCCTGGCAGTGTGCTCAGTGTCCTCTCATAGCAATGTGTTCCTGAGCGATGGGTGCGGGATGAGATCTCAGGCTTCCTGGAGGAGTTGGCTCTTAGTCATCCTGGGTGGAACCACTCTACCATTAGCAGAACATACAGGAAGCTGGAACCTGGTGTTGCAAACGGGATGAAGCAGCCCTAAAGCAGCCGGGTGAGTAAATCTGTTGTTGCCATCTTCTTCCTTAGGGAATCACAAGCATAGTGGGTGTTCCTCAAGAGCCAATGGACCAGGGGAACATTGGTTAAAATGCCTTGCCAGTAGTGATGATGAATTACAAAGATGATCTTCTTTATCCAAATAGAAAGTACAAAGTTCCGAGGAAGCATTTACTTACAGCTAGATACTGACTTGATCCTCTGGAATGTGAGAGGCATTATCGGAGCCACATTCTGTGTTATAAGAAAATGGCGACTCTGAGGGGTTTTCTTGGTGTGCTTAGCGTGACAGACCTGCTAAATGACAGAGACATGGACAGGACTGGGTGGTCCAACCATCTAACTCATAGATGTTATATTGGTAACTATGGACCTCGGTGTCAGTGTTTTCAAACTTCCACTGAGAACACCCTCCCACCCCTGCCTGTGCCCATGCAGGCTGAGGTCGGACAGCCCCTGATCCCAGAAGAAGGAAATGAGTAGTGGGACACCTTCTGCTGAGGATGTGTCAGCCTTACCTTCCAGAACTGAGAGAGAATATCTGTTCCAGCTAATCACGCCTGGTGTGGGAAACTTGTGCTGGGTAGCTGAGAGGCCATCATTTTTCCTGACCCTTTGCTCCCTTTCCACTTTGAAAGCTTTAGAATGATGACATGGGAACCAAAGCCAAACAGCCCATAATGGCCAAGAAAATCTAACTCAGATGTTGGCATGCTGGAGAACGTGTGTCAAAGGTCTCTCCGTTACTCAACTGTGTGAATAAGTAAACGTGGGGGAGGGCGGGGCTTGAGTCCTCAAACTGACTAACCACCTCCCATTGTTTCTTGGGACATTTTTTTTTTCCTGACTCTTTCTTCACTCACTTTCTTAACATAGTTCTACTTAATTTTTAGTTGTAGGTAACCAGCACATCAATACAATAAGTATTTAGGCAGGAAGGTGAAGCAAGTGTTTCTGATCTGACAAAAACCCACCCAGCTCAGAAACAACTGTTATCAATTTCTTATGACCATCCCAGAACGTTTGCAGGTTTTTATGATGTAATTCTGCATGTGCACTTTTCTTGTACAGAGATGAGATGGAGTTCATACATACTTCATTTTAGTTTGCTTTCAAAACCTCAATAATATGTGAGTTAGAGGTCTTCCCAGTCCAGTTCATGCCTTTTTCAGTTGTTGAATGGATTCTGTGGAACTGATGTATGATAATTCACTTAACACTTCTCTTCTGATAAATGTTTATATTTTTAGCTTTTACCAAGCAGCCAAGGAATCAACATGTAAGGCTTGCTATGTGCATATTTGTAGTTTTTTGAAAGTAGTGAGTTAGGAATCCAGGCCTGGGGAGATGTGTATATGCTCTACTACAGTGGATGGTACTACATGGCTTAGGAAAAATCCCAAGCATTTCCTTCAGAATTTGTAAGCTGTTTGTCCCTAAGTGTTGAGGAACGATAGTTGGCGATATGATATTTTCATGAATACAGAAGTACAGATCTAGAACTAGCCAAAATTAGGATATTAGCTATTGAAGGAAGGAAAGAAGGATTATTCCTGCTGTTATTCCTGTGTCTGGCTACACCTCTTGATCTTTCTTAAACAACCAGGGATGAAACATTCAAATATACAAGCCTATCGGGACCATTCTCACTGAAACTGTCACTAAGCTTCATGAATTGTCCTAAACGTATGGTTATGTTTATATCTTATTTTATGAGCTCTCTATGTGTTTCTGTCATTTCTATAGTTAAGATGCATAGTTCATTTGTTATTATGCAAAACTTAGTTCTACTCCTTTATAAATAATAACAAACTTTGATGTTTGTGTGTTGGGCCTATGGCCCTATCCCTTCTCTACGGGTCTTTAAGAATGATTGCTATTCCTTGTTACAAGCCAGGGGCTGATCAGGTACTCAGCTCTCTAGTGATGACATCCTTCTCACAGGAAAAAATCATTTTGGGAATTTTGATCCTTTTTTTTTTTTTTTTGAAAACTTTCATGCTTGCATCTTCCAAGAGCTTTTTCCCAAGGTCGATGAATGTTGTGGATCTCTCACTGTTAGATCCCTCGGGTTATGAGGTGGGATTATCTGATGAATTTTAAGACCTTTCCCATATTTGTTATTTTCCAAGAAGTGCCAACGGCTCTTGTTTTACTCTGTCACTGGACAGCAGACTGGGATCTTGTTGCTCATCCAATAGTTCCCACAAGACTGAAGTGATTTCTCTTTCTTATTTTTGTTTTGTTTTGTTTTGTTTTTGTCTAAGGAATCTGAGGGCTCATACAAGTGAGATAATCCAGTTATCATGATGTTATTTTTTCCAAAGATAAAGGAGAGGGTGTCCATGTCTCCAATGCCTGCCAAGGGGGAGGGCAACTCAGGATGGCAGTCTAGAGCGAGCAGGAAAGGAAAGGGGTCACCTGCTAGACAAAGGATCAGGACACATGCCCGAGGAACTATTGTAGAATAGGTGATGCATCTTCGAGAACAAGAAAGAATTGGTCACAATCACAGGGATTAGTCTGGAAGGCTCATTCCTGAAGGTTAACGTCTACACAAAAGCATGAACTAGTTCCTTGAAATTATTCTCATTCCAGTTCATCCAGGGACTGTGTTAAAATACCAGTTCCCAGGCTTCCCTCCAGGTCTACTGTATCAATACTAATTTGAAATAAGTTTTTGTTTGTTGATTACCTGGGAAAGGGGAGGGGCAGACAATAATGTAAGTCAGTATTATCTTGTCTTGGAGTTATTTTCCTCTGAAAGGGATGTTGGTATGAAAGAGGAAGTGGGTGGGTAGATTGCTGAAGGGCAGAAATGTGACCATTCTTCCAAAAGTGTCCCCTGAAAGGCTTGGCCATCATGTGTTTGTAACTTCATACACTCACAGCCCTTCATATTGATCAGAACTTTCATTCATTCATGAACTCAATGGCGTTCCTGAGCCATATGCCAGCTAGTTATGGATGATGCCGTTAATTGATTGTTCTTAACTTTTATGAGCCCAGAATAATCCCTAAAGCAAAGGCAAGTAATTTATAACTGATTCTTGTCAAGCAAAAGATTTAGCATACTCTCAAGATTGTTTTTCTTCTTATTAATAATGGTTATAAATTTGTATCCAAATGGCCTAATAACTAGGAGAAAGATTAACCTAATTTGAGAAGGCTCAGTATTGTTTGATGAAAACAGATGAGATCACTGGAAGCCAGGCAGATGGATTTGGCAGCTTTTCCATGTTTACTTGGACTGAAATCACCCTTTAATTTGGAGTTCTTTCATGAACAATAATGCATCTGTAATCTGAATATATGTTAGGGAATCATAAATGAATACAGTGTGTTTCAAACTTTATAGGTCAAATTCTATCCTCTTTTTTTATAGAACACATGAAATATTATTTGTCCATATTGATTTGATGAAAGATAGAAAAAATAGTGTATTGTTTGTCAAGTAGTGTTTATTTTTCACAATCTGGACTTTGATTCGTTTGTGCTTTGTCTTGTTTTTGGTGGGTTATAGGCCATGGATTCTAGTTTTTCACTTTCATATCTTATTGAAACATATCTCATGGTGTCTCATGAAAGCAGAAGGAATGTATGCTGGATATCTTTATGTTAATTTGACACAAACTAAAGTCATTTGGGTAGATAGAACCTCAATTAAGAATTGGGCTGTGGGCCAGCCTGTAGGGCATTTTCTTAGTTAGTGATTGATGGTGAAAGAGTCTAGTCTACCTTAGGCTGATGGTCCTGAGCTCTGTAAGAAAGCAGGATGAGCAAGCCACGATGGGCAAGTCAGTAAGCAGCACTCCTCCGGGGCCTCTGTATCATTTGCTGCCTCCAGGATCCTGCCCTGTTTAAGTTCCTGTCCTGATTTCCTTTGATGATGAACAGTAACATGGAAGTGTAAGCTGAACAAATCCTTTTCTCCCCAACTTGCTTTTGGTCATGGTGCTTCATCATAGCAATAGTGACCCTAACTAAGACAGAATGAATGAAATAGAGACTTGCACCTCACGCCAACTCTCCCTAGGTTCTGATAAATTTGAATGCTACATACCTGGGAATAATAAGGGAACTGGGCTCATTTGTATAAACCAGTCACAAGAGTCAAAGAAGTTCATGAGTAATAGCAATAACTTGAACACTGTTAATTAACGGATACCATTCAAATAGTACAGAATATGCATAATGTTGTTTCCTTCCAGCCAAACTTCTCTTGGCAATCATAGCCACACGTGCTGACTGTTCCCCAAACAAAGAACAATCCTTCATCCACCTTCTGTTTTCCTTCTACCTTGACCTGACCAATTTGTCAAGTGTGTGATCCAAATAGACATTGCTTGCTCCAGATTTTATACTGCTAAAAGGAAGGGACTATTTTTGGGTCAAAGATCTGACTCTTAGTTTTTCAAACTATTATGGATGAATTGGAGAAAGGTGATAAGTACTCTCTGATGATGAAATGAGCCAATTCAAGCCAAATTAAAGTATAAATGCAAGTTTATTGGTGGTAGCTTTCAGATGAGTTCACCAAGCACACAGGAGGAGGTCAATGAACTTGCCATGCAGAGGGATACAGAGGGGCAGAGGGGAAGGGGAAGAGAAAGAAAGTGCACACAGGAAGAAGAGAGATGCAGAGAGAGGGAGAGAGAGAGAGAGAGAGAGAGAGAGGTAAAGAGAGATACAGAGAGAGAGAGGTAGAGGTAGAGAGAGAGAGACAGAGAGAGAGAGAGACAGAGATAGAGAGACAGAGAGAGAGACATAGAGAGAGACAAAGAGACAGAGAGAGAGACAGAGAGACAGAGAGATATGCAGAAAGAGAGAGAGAACGCACCAAAATGTCTGGATTATATAGTGAAGAGCCACTGGGTGAGAAGAAGCCCCTCCCCTGGGCTGGAAAGTTCAGAGTACACTGTGGGTTATGCCAGCCATGCCTTGTAACAGTAGATGCTGGGAGAACTTGGAAGTCAGATCCACTTTGGTATGTTAAATAGGCACCTCAGTCTTGTGTCCTGTGTCTGAATCCCAAAAGAATGATTTTGGAAGAAAAGACTAACCTCAACCAATCTCAATCAACCTCAACCTTGGGTTTTTTGTAGATGCTGCTGTCCTGAAGTGCAGGTCAGGATTATTCTAAACTAGTGGTTAGGGATTTGACAGTACTAATTAAGGGAATTCAGATGCCACCTGTTGTATTGTCCTTCTTTCTTGGAGTCTTGTTTCCTGCAAGATAAGATCCACGGAGGGTTGGCAGCTTTGTCTCTCTGATGGCCTCCCCCTTCACAGGCTCTTATGGTCAAGGTGGACCAACAATTTCAAAAGAAGTTTGTGGACAGAGCAGCTTTGAGGATATGACTGAAACCAATTTGTGGCTTAGGAAGCAGTGACTTTCTGTTATTAACTAGTATGTTTTGGCCACCCTTAACCATTAAAAACAGCGATAGTCATATCAGTGTATTATTACTGTGATGTTCCAGGGAAACAGTTTAGAAGAGTTTTGCCATGCCTGGTTCTGGAGTTGTCACTGTTTATCTAAAGTGGCATCTTGCTATGTTTTTCAAACAGGTCTTGAACTCGTAGATTCAGGCAGATTTCCCACTTCTGGGGGTGAGACTATAGACACACACTAACAGATTCTGCTCAAATGTTTCTAGTAGAAA